GACATGCCCTGATCAAGCCGAAGTTCAGTTCAAAGCGGCGTTGAAACAATCCCTTTTAAAGTACACTGCGTAGGAGGACAGAGGAAACGGAGATAGTAATCACTCGATGCTTAAATGTCAACTTAAATACTGTAATAATAGCGTCGATGTGACAAAATATAAGGAAACCGTTATGCAATGCTGTCAAGAGAGAGAGAGAGAGAGAGAGAGAGAGAGAGAGAGAGAGAGAGAGAGAGAGAGAGAGAGAGAGAGATAGGCGGAGGGAGGGAGAGGAGGAGGGGGGCGGGGAGAGGAGGTAGAGAGGCGGGGAGAGAATAGAGGTAGGTTTCGAGTTGTTAATTTCTGGAAGTTTGGAGTCAATAATTACTGGTCTGTGAGAATCGGAAATTAGGTCCGGTGGTTACAATGCGCCATAGTCGCGGAATATTTGATTGACAATCCCCAATCTAATGGCCCTCTATGTCCCACAAGCCCCCTCTCCCCTCAATGTCACGACACGGACATGCCGGAAACACCTCGTCGGATGTTCTGAATTTGGACACAGTATTTCTGTAGTGTGCTACACGTCACAGAAATTCCACTAACTATCATAATTTTAATCTCGGGACGTTTATAATTAATGCGCAAAATAAACCAAAACAGAATCAGACAAGACTGCCCTGTTCAACAAAGAACGAACACAGTTGATTAATAGTTACAATTTATTACACATTGTTACCTGTAATCATCCAACTGCCATATGTTGACATTTACGCTAATTGCACGTCTGGTTCGTATCAATTACCCTCATCTTATGACCTTAGATCTCCTCCGCTTGACCAGCGTTCATTCTGCATGGGTGGTTAAATTACCCATAAATATTATTGTTAGTAATTATCCCTTTGATGTGTGGCCTCAATGCCAAATACCAAATAGAGACAGGTGTGTTTAATTAACAATAAAAACGTGAAGTTTAATACAAATCTCCCGGGTTTTATCGTTAAGATCGTTAGTTTTCCTTTAAAAGTGTGTCAGAGCTAAATGTTTGTTTGTTTGTGTTTAATTGTTCGAGTTGTTTACACATTACATTCGATGTGCATGGTTATCTGTCCTTTCTCTCAGTGTTTGTATAATCAGCAAAAATCGTTGTTTGAGAAGAAAGGAAATAAAAGGATGCAACAAGGAGCGAATGAAAGACCTTTGTAAAGAATTTCCTATTCTTTTGGCGTGGACATACCAGCAGTGATGGATGAGAAATGTTTTAAGATTATAACCTGAGATATTACGATATGTACACAAGGAATTACTGTTTATGTTTAGCCACTGAACACAGTGAATTACGTAATAACATGCACAACACAAAACGAAATATTGTATTCGGAAATGTGAGCTAGGACGGGATTTTTTTTTAAAAATGTGACACAGATTGAGACAATTTGTATAAAGACAGTTTAGAGATAAAACCCAAGATGAAAGCAGCCTATACAAACAAAAACAACTAAATGACATTTTAAAACAAAACAGGCCAACCCGTTACAGTTGCAGCATGTTTTGTGTAGACATTTAGTGATGTTGTCTAATAATATATGTGTATCTCTAAATAGAGTCAGGGGCGGTGGGGTAGCCTAGTGGTTACAGCGTTCGCTCCTCACGCCGAAGGCCCGGGTTCGATTCCCCACATGGGTACAATTTGTGAAGCCCATTTCTGGTGTCCCCCCGCCGTGATATTGCTGGAATGTTCCTAAAAGCGGCGTAAAACCATACTCACACACTAATGCTCCTTTATCAGAGCGGGGCGGCGGGGTAGCCTAGTGGTTAAAGCGTTCGCTCGTCACGCCGAAGACCCGGGTTCGATTCCCCACATGGGTACAATGTGTGAAGCCCATTTCTTGTGTCCCCCCGCTGGAATATTGCTAAAAGCGGCGTAAAACCCAACTCACTCACTCAATCACTCACTTTATCAGAGCAGATCTGAAACGTTTATATTTTAACTGTTTTTTCCCAGGTGTAAGATAATGCAGTTGTTGTGGGCTAAACTTACGCCTTACACACAATTAACTTATGCTTTTTGTTCTTTCCCGCTATGTTTTATATGGACACTTTCTATGAAGGCCTTGACACAAATAAACATTTCGTCATTGGCTGTATCGCTTCGAAGATCATCCGTTATGGCGAATGACGCCGAAATTATGATGGCATTGGACAATAGATGTTGGTGAGATCATGAATTCACCAGAACAGAAGCTAATACTTGACTAAATTCGACTTTCCAGGATTCTTCTTCGCTTTGGAATAAAGGGACGGTGTGGTAGCCTTGTGGTTAAAGCGTTTGCTCATCACACTGAAGACCCGAGTTCGATTCCCCACATGGGTACAATGACCCGGCCGTGATATTGCTTATCATTGCTAAATGCGTCGTGGAACGAAAGTCACTCACTCACTTTAGAATAAAGTGAAACCTCATTAAACCGGACACATGTTAGTCAGTATGGAATTTCGTTACAACGGGTCCTGGTTAAGCGGAACCGTTTATCTTGGTGACATATCTTAACCCACGCGACTTGTAAACTTGGAAATCTGGTTATCTGGAACTTGAATTGGAACCTTAAATGTCCGGATTCTTTAGGCTTATCTGATTATGATACGGTAAATATGCACAAGAAATATTAAAGCAACCGGATGCACTTGAACATTCCAAAATAGGTGAATACACACTGCCATGTAGAAATTCATATTGGGGATTACACTTTCTTAGTAAAGTACAGATTTCTTGTACTTTTGTTGGGTTGAGCCCAATCCGAGATTCAAACCCACACCCTCAGAGTCATGAACCTAATCGCCAGCACACGAAGCCGCGATGTTAGGGTTAGGTTAGGCGGCTGTACTTGAGAAAGACTCCCACAATGTTGTTCAGCACTTATGAAATATACTATATGTTTTCCGACCTTGAAGTCATTAAACAGAATTATGCATTTTCTGCAGTCACTTGTGAATTGAACTAAATGAAGGTTCATCTGATTAATGAGTATCGAGGAAATTATGTTCATCTATAAATTAGACGCAGCTTCATGTTTTTCAAGACATCTTTCCGGAATATACGTCTGTGAAGACGTTCAGATAATGATGATATTGCACAGTTTTATTCATGAGATTCATGTCAACAGTAAGGTCCAGTAATAGATCGATTAAATTCAGCAGTGTTGGTCCTGGGGCCTATAGTACAATTACATGTTGGTTACTTGCACGTGGTGCTAGTAACATATTAAGTTTCTATTGACATTGAATGCATATTTCAGTTAAAAGCTAATGATATTATTGTCACAACATCTATATTGTTTGATGTTAAAAGATTTGGCAATGTGTGTTCATACATTACAATTTTTGACAGACTTGGCAAATAATTAATAAATGATATTGATACCATCTTAATGACTTGGCCATACAGTCATGACAATTTAAGGAGTGAAAAGTGAGCGATAGGTCTTGTGGGAATTCAAAGATTCATTAAAACTTGAGCCGTCTAAGCGTAACTCCTGTGTGTAATATTTGTAAATATTCTATCCACTGTAAACATGCTTCTACTATTAATATTACATGTATTTTCATGGATTCATCATGTTTTATCTATAGCTGTGCTATAGTTTCTCATTAAAATGTCTTTTCTGTTGTCGGAATTGAAGTAAGTCCCACACATAGCTGGGATCATGTCTTTGAAATATATATGCAAACGTCTGGAACCTTGTGTTCCAATACAAGCGTTCGTAGCGCTACGACATTCGCCTGCCTATGATAAACTATAGAGTTGGTCTCAACCATTGACTGGATTACATTCTCATCGTCAGCAGAGAAATTTCGACTTCTCTTTTTCCTTGGGGTGCAGGCGACATTTCGCGATTCCATTTTTGGTAATCCGGAAGTAAACAGAAAACGGAATTGTGGGATATATGGAAGCTAACCAGTGACGTTAACCACACTGTTAAACCTTGACGGCGACGTTAGCTAACGGCATTACTAATCATGTTTTGAACAACGCATATTTAACGTTCTGTTACCTAACGGCCGGTTAAGGATTTAACCGGCCGTTAGGAGTTAACCGGCGGTTAAGATAACCGAGTATTGAACAACCGGGCCCGGGTACATAAATACAAAAACCCCATAACAATACATTATTCACGAATGAAACTCGCTTCTTGAAAATATATATGTGAGCTTTAAGCGGTTCTTTCTTTCATTATAATTTTTAAAAATAGGTTAGAATATCGATCTTCAGTAACCCATGCTTGTCGTAAGAGGCGACTATAACGGGATCGGGTGGTCAAGCTTGCTGACTTGGTTGACTAATATCATCGGTTCCCAATTGCGCAGATCGATGCTCATGCTGTTGATCACTTGATTGTCTGGTCCAGACTCGATTATTTACAGACCGCTGCCATATAGCTGGAATATTGCTGGGTGCGGCGTAAAACTAAACTCACTCACATCTTAAAAAAAGCTATGTAGTGAAAAAACGCCTGTCCTTTTAAAAGGACCTTTGCTCGATAACTAAACAACTTCAGTTTTCTACAGGGTCTATGAAAGTAACACCCGGATGTGTTTACATAACTTTATAAGTTTTCACTGTATCCTTTGTTTACCGGGATGGCTGTCAGAAGTGAAGAGACTGTGTTTATCGATGACATCAGCAACACTGACAACAAAGATTTGCTGACGGTAAGCATTGAGCAGAATATTACTCCACCCAAAGTGCCTTCAAGGGAGGTCTTGGTCAAACAATGGACGTAGGGTTGAATATATTTTGTCCATAACATAGGTACAGCCCGTAAAATCACACAAAGAGGTTAAATTACTTAATACCCCCAGGCAATTCGTCATGCTTCACGTGGTTCCTCTTCGGTGCAGTTTCACTGCAGTGTCAACCTGTTTTGTTGACATTGTTTCAAGCTCCGCCCGTTTTGTAACGAATGCTACCATTGGATCAAATTTGTTAACGGCGTTTTCATTGGTTGATTGGCACGTGACTCTCACATGCCTTGGGCCGACACTTTGTTGAGTGTTTATTGCAAGGCTCACAGTAAGACTATGGGATATTTAGGGACCCTGGCAGAACCATGCCAGCCAGAAGAGATCGAAGTTAGCGTGGAAAGGAATTAGTTCACCATGTTGTGCTTTGTCTCACAACCAAACTCCGTTGTTTTGGAAGTTGAAGTGGATCCGCGCGCCGACGGCCAAGACTGTCTCGATAAAGTAAGTTAGTTTCCCGGCAACAAATGACGTATCCCAAATACTGTTCAAAATCGCATATACAACTTTTTTGACGTTGGATAACTTGACGTCCACAGATTTCTCGTCAAATCAGCTAAAGAGGGTTTTTGTAGTTGTTAGAGAATCACAATCCGTCACGCTTCAATGAGTCACGGGCAGAAGCGCAACCACTTGATGATTTCTCCTCGCTTTTATATTCATATGAGTAGAGAAGAGCTCTCAATTTCATTACCATTCGACTTTGATTATTGATAGTAAAATATTTTATTCAGTATCTCTCAATAAATTTTGCCGTCATATTCGTTCGCCGGCAATGTTGACAACCATCAGCTGTTTGCCATCAGCTGGTCGGCGAGCGAAAATGGCCGCCGTTGCAGGGTCAAAGTCCACTCTGGATTGAACCTGGAGAAATTGCTTTGTCTGTTAAGTGGTAGTGTGCCCATCCTCACGAAGTACATGTCATCAGTATGCAAAATGTCAGATAAAAGCTACTTGAAATGATGAAAGATCTTTAGTTGATGTTATTTCTGGACACCTGATTTAAGTTAGTTGGAATATTGGTTCAACATAGAATAGTGAAAGGAAGATTAGAGTTGTATGGATAACATGTTTATAATCTACCAAGTTCACACCCCATATGTGAAACTCTTTAGACGTGTCAAGATCCATGTTGTCAATTTACTATTAATGAAAAATGCTAATGAATATAAATAGTATATTATGAATTCTAATAATATTGATATGTTTTGATAAAAGATGTGATGTAACTTGACTCTCCATTGGGGATGACCATTATACAGATATACATATACTGTATTGATAATGATATATTCTAACATGTGTTAGATAGTTACCTTGATGTGAGATTCTTATATTGGTTGTGGTTAAGTGGATTATTTTACATGGTCTCTTTTACTAAATTAATGCCACAAAGTACTGCCCATTCTTCAGTCCCATACAGTACACTAAGGATGTACAGTGGATACTAGACCTATGTATTATTCAGTGATTATATTGTTGGAGTACAACATGCTCTCTCTCATATAGACTATTGGTTAGTCTCTGAATATATATACTAGTAATTGTGATAGTAATATTTAAACTGAAAAGGAGCCCCAGTCAGATAGGAAATTCAGACTGAACCTGAGGAAATCTAGACTTGCTTTAGGGCCATGATTACGGGAACTAGTCAAATGGTCCGAAGGACAAAAGGGCCGAGAAGTGCCAAGTCAAAAGGGCCGATGGAAAAAGTCAAAAGGGCCGAGGTGAAAGTCAAATGGGCCGTGACAAAAAGTCAAAAGGGCCTTATTCCTAGTCATATGGCCTGAACAGAAAAAAGTTGAGAAAGGTTTTACATTATTTGTTGACACATATGGCATTGAAACATAATATCATCATAACATTAATAAAATGGTAATGGCATGGTAATAGCCAAGCATGTAGCCAAGTTTTCATGTAATGGCAATAAATATAGTTCACATAATTAACAAAAATAATGTAATAGTAATTTACACAAGTTCATTTGTTCACAATTTACACAAGTTCATTCGTTCATAATTTACACTAGTTCATTCTTTAATAATTCACACACGTTAATTCAAACACACTTGGGGCATTCACTCTGGAGATTTCATTAGTTAAGACACTGAGTCGAGATACTTTACAATAAAAACGTTAGACTCGCATGTTTTGATTAGATTTGGATTAAAAACTTACAACAAAAACAAACCTCCCACGTGGATTAGTCGTGAAACTGAGTCAAGACACTTCACAATGAAAACATTTGCGTCTCATGTTCAAATTCAATTTAAAATAACAACGACAAACTAAACACTATTTACACTTTTTTACTATGTAATTTATGAAAATTTTATTTTCGGCCTTTTTGAGGGCCTTTTTGACTTTCATTTCGGTCCATTTGACTTTTAACCTCGGCCCTTTTGACTAGAACCCCATGATTACAGTAGGGGAAATAATGTGGTTCATGGTCTCGCACTAGCTCTCATACAGAGAGGGCTTTTGTCGTATGTAAAATAAATAGTAGTCACCACCTGACCTGGGTTGTAATTTCCCAAATGATACAGTGTGTGAAACCCTTATCTGGTGTTGCCAGCCATTATATTACTGGAATATTGCTAAAAGCAGTTTTTCACTCACTCACTGTAAGAAGTGTCTATGAAGATCAAAGATTTGTAGAAAGTGGGGAAAGGAGGTCTTTTATATGATTTAAGTATACAGATCTCATTAGATGTGGGCTCGTTTTGTCCCATCAGAACCTGAAGGATCAGAATTTAACACCATTAAACAGCACTGAGTGTCTGAAGTACGGAGGAAGTAAGTTATCCTATATCTAGATTAGAGGAAAGACTTGTTGACCGACCCGCGAGAGCACTGAGCAAAGTCTGACAGCTGCATTCTCGACATCATTGTCCGAGCTTGTGTTATCATTTCCAAAAGTAGGTCAGAGATTTCATTCCATGACTGTGAGTTATACAACTGACTGTAGTGTGTGTTTCATTACCGTTTATTGATATTCAGCAGAGAGCGCAAGGCGTACATCATGCGGAACAGAAAGTATCGTGGTTTGAGACACCTTTATTTGTCTCTGTTACTACAGGTGAACTGACAGTGAACCTGATCAGTTAGTTGAAATTACAGTAATAGTAAACTTAGTCATCGTACAGTTATGGGTCAATTGATTTGTCTTTCTACTGGAACAAAATTGTGAGGTCACCAGCTGGGCATGGGTGTAAGTAGAGGTAAATTGTCATGGTTATGTCTTTAAATTCTTTGACTTCCTACCTGTGTGGCTATTTCAGATTGTTGTATCAAAAAAAAATTATCATACAAGTACAATTTGGCCTTGGACAAGAAGACATAATTCATCTCACAAAACCTAGAGTATACATGGCGTAGTCAGTCACACTGTGTTTTATTGTAAGACTTGCCATGGCTGGCTTTCAAGATCCATGGACTTTAGTAGTTGCAGGCCCTGAATAAGTTCTTTAGGCCCTCAGGTAACAAGACTGCAGGTTAATGTGACATGCAATACTGTGAGACATTAAGAATGGTACAAGTTTGAAATTTGAAAGTTTGAACTCTACCTAATGGGAAGGTGCTTATTTTGAACACTGCATTCACCCTGTCCATTTTCTGCTCCAGTAGTCAATATTCATGAGTAAGTTTAGTTTTACGCCGCATTTAGCAATATTTCAGTAATATCATGGCGGGGGACATCAGAAATGGGTTTCACACATTGTAGCCATGTGGGGAATCGAACCCGGGTCTTCAGCTGGGCTACTTCACCCCCCTCAACACTAATGGATTCTCAAGCTCCTGAAATTTGTGGGTTGCTCAGTTTTTGAGTGTGATCATGTAGAATACATCATTTTATGTGTGGAAACTGTATTTCATGAACTGTGTTAGCTTAAAGAAGACCACAGGTCAGAGTTAAATTTAGCTGATGTTCATATGAATTGTTCATATTTTATTCATTTTGGGCACAAGGAAAAGCCCTTATTTGAGAAGGGTTTGCACCCTGGACCAAGTTGACATTATTGTAATGTTAAAAACAGTTTTTGAGAAGGTAATTGTGAGTATGGGAACTGCTGATCTTGTTTGTGTAGATTGGGTAAATAACATTTAAGATTATGTATATGAATTTAGGTAAGTGAACAATTTTGAAAGATACATTTCTACTGACTGAATCCTGCAGCATGCCAACAATATTAAAGTGTGTTATCCTCTACAGGTCAGTGAACAACTTCACATCATCGAGCAGGACTACTTTGGGCTCCAGTACCGAGGCAGTAAAGGGGAGACGTTATGGCTGAACCTGACGGAATCGGATCGACGATCAGATTGGAGGAGCCCCTCCTTATCGCTTCATGTTCCGGGTGAAGTTCTTTGTGGAACCCCACTACTTACTTCAGGATGAAACAAAGTAAGTCAATACAGAGTCCTACTCTTACGGCAGGTCACCTGGTTGGTAGGGGAATAGTATTTGCCGTGAGCACAGTTGCACTCTTTAGTCCAGACAAGGGGGTATGTTTTGGTTGCCCTTAAGCCAGGATCCATAGTGTGTGCTAGCCTTTGGTCTGTGCTTTTGGGTCATCCATATTGTCCTGGATTCAGTCACTTTTGCCATTTATAGCATTCAGCTATTACGCAATACCATGACTGGAATACTATGTGCACACGATGTACTCCTTTCATGAAATACAAACTAGTTCTGATTGCTATCCTGAAGTACTCTGTGAATCACTTGCTTGATAATGGTGTGAAGCCTACACTGAAGGGTCGCTCTAATAATAAGAAGTTCATCCACTATTGTTATGCTTCTGAAGAAACTAGGTGCTAGACTAAACTAAATAACCATTTTGGTGTTGATAAATTTCTTCTTAGATAGTTTGTCCTTGTAAGTAAGGGTAGAGATTGGGAAAGAAAGCTTGATATTTTTACATTGTGTGTGTCTGAAATTTGTTTTGTGAATTCACTGCTAGTACATTGCGCAGCTGGTATCTCATTCAGAGCCAGTCAAGATTTAGTCAACTATGTCATTTGTTCAAGATTTTAAGTCATGACTTGTCTTTTGTAGGCACCACTTTTACCTACAAGTGAAACAAGAACTGCAGTCCAAGAAATATGAATTAACAGATACACCTCAGGCTGTGAAGATGTTGGCCCTGCTGTGTCAGGCAGAGCACGGGGATGCAACAACCAACTCCTTCCAGCAGAATGTGTACACGCAGATGATGCAAGGACTCTGTGAACCCACGGAGGATATCCTCAATATGGTGTATGAGGAACATTGTGAACTCCGGGGAATGACGGCGGTGAACGCAGAATATCACTTACTTCAGGAGGTGTCCGAGCTGCCTACATATGGTACAGAGTTCCATGATGCCAAGAGAACATCTGGAGAGCCAACCAAGATTGGAGTTGGACCTGAAGGATTGTCCATGTATAATGTCGAGACAAACAAGATGGATAGGTAGGTGATGGTTGATGCATGGTTAAACACTAATGAATCACAACTAGTAGACTCTTAGTTCTGAATGAAAGAGGGGAGTTGGGCCTGGTGGATAGCACAGTGGTTGAAGCTTTGGCTGTTCATGGTGTGGTTCAGGTTTGATAGCTCTGTAAATCACTTCCTGTTGAAAGTGACAACTCTTCCAAATGAAAGAAGACTTTTTTGAAAGTGTTATTCTCTTTCACACAATGTCCATCCCATCCCTAGAAAACATTTTAATAAATTCAAAATGCTAAAACAACTTTGAAGGAAATAATCAGTTTACAAGTGGGATGCAAGTGGTCCAACTTACATGATGAATATGGTACTGTTCAAAGTCTCACGTTTCGTCCTCTAACAGACGTTCTGTTATATTATCATAGAAATCACCTCTAACCAAGTCTGTTCCATTTCAGGATTGCTTATGCCTTAATCCAAATGGCAACCCATATGGATCAGAAAGTTATCCTCCGAGTGTTCGATGAGAAGGGAGAGCCAAGTATCCATCTTGTGTTTCGGTTCAAAACCTGCAAAGCTGCCAATGCCTTGTACCGCTGTGTGACGGAGATGCATTCCTTCTACCGCTGCGACACAGTCCGGGAAGATGTGTCCACACAGTTCTGCAGAGACCTCAAAGGAACAATCTGCTCGATATTCAATGAAAATACTTCACTGGGTAAGTACAGATGTACACTGGGTTAGGATAGGTCCCCCAGAATCGATTGCTTGTTGCAAGAGCAATGTAGCTGTCTTAGTGATAATCATTAAGTTAACACACATGAAACGCATTGAATTTTTGGGGTATTTTGACGTTAGATTTGTGGATCCTTGGTCCAACTGATTTTATATTCATATTTATCGTCCAAACCTGGCTTCCACAGGAGAGATTGCTTGGGTGATGTCAAGAAATGCATCCCATGGGATATTACTCCATTGTAACACTTAGTAAAACTTTGTAGATCTTTTTGAGGCCACCAGTCACTATGACTAGTCAATAAAAAGTAAATATTTTTAGATATATTTGGGATGGGGTGAGATGCTGAGTTGTATACTTTTTGAGATATATGTTGAGGACACTACAGAAAAAACACCTGATTTTTTAGAACACAAAGTTAAGAATAATATCAAGTTTCATTGTGTTGTGCTTTTTTCAGGTAAGAAGTACATCTTTGACATTCGACGTACATGTCGAGAGGCTTATGACCACGCAAGAAGGAAACTGTGGACTGCAAACCAAGATGGTGAAAAGATGAATGGAGCCGAACCTCTTCGGCGTAGTCGTGAAAGCATTGTCTGTGATAACAATGAGAATGCCATTGTTAGAACTGAGTGCCAGGTAAGATGGAATACTAGTGATTCGGACTGTGAAAAGAGTAGTGGTCTGAAATTAATAAAGCATATGGATAACAAACTTTTGTTTATTACAAAGTGTGATGTTTTTAAATAGATGCTAACATCGTTTATTGACTCACCAACTTCTAGAATGCTGATGAAATTTTTAACAATTGTTCTGAATTTGTTGCTGGCTGTTATTATTTTGATTTCATGATAACTTATGAGTGAATTCTCGAAAGACTAAATGTCACCTATCCAAGACATTCAGGAATATTGAATCTTGTTTCAGGAGCTGCGAGCCCGGCTAGCTAGTATTGAAGATTCCCTCCGCTGTGTAGTGTGCATGGACAGACAAATCTCAACAACATTTTGTCCGTGTGGTCACGTGATCTGTTGTTCCGAGTGTACACAACACATAACAGAGTGCCCAGTGTGTCGCACGTCCATAGACAAAGTGCAAAGGATTTTCATTCCAGGCCTTCACTTGGAGCCTCAGTGCTCTCACCTGTAGTGAGAAAAACTCCCGCCAATAGTGCCTGGACGTGTGGGACAGCCTGCCAATGCAACAACCCGGTGATATTGTTCTCGGAGCTGGTTCTTCGGGTAATGTTTTATCAAATGTTTTTGTCGACATCGAGGATGTGCGAACGTTGGAGTTCGTTCTTGGATAACAGCAGTGGAAATGGACCATGTGATTACATTTCGACATTATGCACAAACTTGCCTTCCCTGCTTTAAGCAGGATGGAAACATATCCAGTCTGTTCCTTCGTACAAATGACGAACAGCTTCAATGTGAATTTCCGTAGGTGTCATCCTTGGTACAGAATCCAGTGGATGATACTGGATCGTTTTGTAAATTGTCTGGAATTGTACAGATCTGACTTCATTACTACATTAACAACCCTTGTAGATCATTGCATCATTGGTAGACTAGCGCTTCATTTCATAAAACCATACATATCTGTGATACATAAGAAATTCCACGTTAACACAAAGCCAAAAATAGCTGTAGCAGGACTGAGTAAGAATAGCTTCAGGATGATGTGAATAATTATGGTCTTGAGGTCCAATAATGGGAATGAGGGTAACTCCAAAAATTTGTTTGGGAATTGGTGCTCTGAAGCCCTGCTTACCATAACCATGAAACTGTCATGTCACAAAATGGTTAAATATTTTTCTATTGAATATGACGGAATTATTACAATGTGCTTATTCCTGAAACATCCTTTGCGGGGCCTTGTAGTTCACCGGGGATGTGTATCCATGGTAACAGGTTTCGCAGCATATATTATCTTGATGTTACCTTGTTAAAATCTAGTCAAAGAGAATCAAATCCTTTCCTTTTGGAGCAGTATGGATCAATTTGATAACCATTCAGTACTTGTCCATGATGCTAATTTATTTCACAATATGAAGCTTAATAAGGAAAGTATTTCAAAGATTTTCTTTATCCAAAGTTATACCAGTGGAAATGAAGCTACTGGCATTTGACTGATATATTTTTAACTCTATTCTGTTGTTAAATTTCAGTTTCAAAACAATAAATTTATGGCATTGTTTACTGGATAAATGTATGTTTATTGATCCATGCGTTACAGCGTTTATGAACTGTAGATATTACTGTTATTTTATAGATTATTAGAAACAAAAATCTTTTTAACAGCAGACTGTTTTAACATGTACACGTGATATTTAAGCTATCAGTGTTGAGTTATGTTAACTGTTAACATTCCATTATACACGTTACCGTTCTTGCACTGGTTTTAAGCCAGTGCATCTCAGGAATACTCTTTAACTGTACTTAACTTTTATATCTTTGAATGATAGAGATAGATTTTAACAATTCACAAAGATTGTAAAGCCAGACCAAATTAATTACTTGTTTAATTACATAGTTCTTACCCCACATATTTTAAAAATGAATTATTTTTTTTAAATCTCGGATGTATGATTGTATTTCATAGAAGCTAACAGAGGCATGTTAAATACATGTATATATTTTGAAATTTATAGTAGCTGAGTTCAAGTTCCTATCATGAGCATGACTCTTGAACATTTAGAATTAACTGGTGGGACTTGAATTGTCAAGATTGGCCTCTGCAGTATAGTTGCATGTTATATATTCAAATTTGGGGATGAGGAGTAGAGTTCTGGAAAACTGGAAATTTTGGGATTTAAGTCATAGTAAACAGATAAAGTGGTATGAAGAACCTGTAAAACATCCAATTAAGTTGGTCTGTCTAAAGGAAATGTTATTTTATCATGTGGAGCTGCATGCAAAGCTATAGATTGTGATAGGGGTGTTCCATCAACTGCATAAAAAGGCTGCATTTGTGATAGCAGTTTTGCAGCAAGGTTTTGTGATCAGTGAAATTTGAGGTATGTTCACTTTTTTGAAGACACAAGATCCTTCTTTTAGTCTAAAATTTTAGTACTGTAGTAAATGTTGAAATCAATTTTGGTGTGAGCAGTGTGCGAAGTAGTTTCCAAATTTTGTTTGCCAGTCGGGCTAGCTATGCCTGAAAGTTACTAGCAAACAAACTAGCCCGAAATTTGAATGTAGAAACTAAGCAAAAGATAACGAAAAGGTAAAATACCATCATAAAAATTCACTAGACAGTGGGGCCAGATATACTGGCCCGAGTGGATTTTACTCGCCATGGAATAGCGGGCCAGTGGCTATTTTGCACACTAGGTGTGAGTGATAAATGCCATACTTCAGATTTGGTGGGGTATTTATTTAAGGTCATCAGTGAAAACAGCAGTGCTCTAGCTGTCGTATTTACCCCAAAAATTGTCAACACTTACACACTTAAAGTTATATTAGTGCTAAAATTATTACAATATAGTTTACACAAAGGCTTGAAACAAGTTGTAGCCAAGATTGCCTTGCACAACTTGTTCTTATCAAGCCAATTGTAAAGAGGCTATATTATAACTTTCAACATAGGCTTAGGACCAAAATAGTAATCTTTATTTACACCTGTGGCCCTTGGCAGATGTTGATAAGTATAACATTAAGATACACATATAAAAGTGAATTGCAAATGGCATGATGTAATTGTGTCAGGTGAATGTGCAAATGTGCCATAGGTTTGTGCACAGCTTTGATTTTCTGTAACTTATTTTCCATATTCTGTATTTATTGTAACATAGTGGAATTATCATGCAGGACACACATCAAGGAGATGATGTTTGTGTCACTGTACCACAGTCTTTCGTATGTGGATGTGACCTACGTTTGCTGTCATACCAGCTTCATATCGTGGGTGATGTCTTGAGAATCAAATGTCTTCCTCATCTTTGTACCATCAGCTTTGAAAGAAAAACAGTGGGATAAGCTTAGGGACCACTTCATACCTCAGAGGAATTAACAAAACTGAATGAGCTTGGGTGTTTGAATTCAGCTCTTTAGATGAAATGCCATACAGCTTATTGCAAAGATCCATATTTTGAATGGGTATTTTCCATCAGGCTTTGGTTTGGTGGTGCAAAGGTGTTTTGTTCGTTTGAGGGAACCAGAATTACTAATATATATTGTAATAATAATCGTAGCAATATAAAATCGGTTATATGGTTAAGATTATTTAAGAATATATATATATGTGATATGTTGTCCCAAAACCATTGGTTTGGGTTGAGTGTCAGTTATGATCTAGTCAAGGTGCTCCGATTCGGTCTCTTCAAATTTGTGTTGTGATAAAAATATATGAGTATCCTGAATTCATTCCAAAAGAGTAACTTACCAATGGGCCCAAAATTTGAAGAGGGGAATCTTGAGGGGAATGGGTGCAATTGGGAAGTGAAGCATGCCTTGCATTGTCATAGTAACCGCTAATGTGATGGTGACATTTGTAATATAAATAATAGCAAACATGATTTTGATTCCATGCTGGTATTCCTTTGTACAGGGGTGTCTGTTTGAAGGTACATCCATTGGTTTCACATTTGAATTCTGAAGAATAAACAACCCTGTTTCACTATTTCCTCCGATTTTCCAGATGCTATTTGAATATTTTTAGACCATGATCTCAATTGAATATTACTAAGGATATCTATTGCTAACAACGAGCTGTTGAAACCAAATGGCATCCCACACACTGAAATCTATTAAAGGTTATATTTTGATCTTGTTCAGTGAACTGTACATATATGATTTTCAAATCAAACGGGTTACCTCTGCACAGAGCTTTCCATTGTCAATTTCAAACATAGCCATGTTATTTTTATCATTGTGAATAAACATTCATTGTATTAATATCATGTCTGTCTTGTGTTATGGGGCAGTGGGGTAGCCTAATGGTTATAGTGTTAGCTTGTCATGGGTTCGATTCCTCACATGGGTACAATGTGTGAAGTCCATTTCTGGTTTTCCCCCACCATGATATTTGCAGCTTCGCAAAATAGGCGATTGTAGTCCCACAGTTGGAGAGGAGATCGGTCTATCTGCCCTGTGCCCCAGGTGAAGAATCTTGGTGTTGTTTTCCGTTCTTCAATGTCACCAGAATCACAAGCCTTAACAGCAGCAAGATCAGCAACCTTTCATCTCCGCCGAATAGGTAACATCCGCCGCTATTTGGACATTGACACATCCAAACTTTTAGTTCAGTCATACGTCATCTCACGCCTAGACTGCCGTAACTCCCTTGTGTCAGGAGCAGCAGCAATCCAACATCTCCAGCTTGTATAAAACAGAGCTGCCGGGATCATTACCAGGACAAAATGTCAGGAACACATCACCCCTGTGCTGAGGTTGCTGCACTGGCTCCCAGTAAAGAAAATACAGTACAAAATAATTTGCATCCCCTACTCAACCCTCTATGACATCAATTCACCAGCTTACCTCAAAGACATCATAGAAATGTATCATCCAACTCGTGTCTTGAGGTCAGCCTGAAAATGCCAGCAACAAAAACATCCATGGTAGACAGGGCTTTCAGAGCTAAGTACCGCGCCAGCTTTGTGGAACTCTCTACCAGTTGAACTGAGATCAGTATCTTCCCTGGAAGCATTTGGGAGCCAACTACAAACTCATCTCTTTCTAGCTACCTACTAGTTTCTCCACTTTCTCTGCACAGCGCCACTGAACAGCACTGGTTGGACATTATGCGCTTAAACAAATGCATTATTATTATGATGATGATGATGATGATGACATTGCTGGAATATTGCTAAAAGCAAGTGAATATAGAAGTGAAATGATTTGAGTCTGCTGAATGAAACATATTTTCAGAAGCATCCGTCTGTGTCACATCAGCTCTATAATAATATATTATCACCCAGGGTTAGTTGGTTCGTTGTTTAATGCCGCACCCTGCAATATTATGGCCTCATGGCGGAAGTCTGTAAATAATCTAGTCTGGACCAGACAATACAGTGATCAACAGCATGAGCATCGATCTTCGCAATTAGGATACGATGACATGTGTCAACCAAGTCAGCGAGCCTGGCCACCCAATCCCGTTCGTCGTCTCTTAGGACAAGCATTCATGGGTTGCTGAAGATCAATTCTAACCTGGATCTTCACGGGTGTATCAGCCAGTGATATGTATCATCACATCACATGTGGAGGAGCAGAGATGCATGCAGAGGTGATCTTGTGTGTGCTGTCTAATGCCACTCATTGCATTCAAGAAACATGAAGCTGTCTTGACCAGACAATCCAAAGACTGACGTCATGAGCATGGGTCTACGCAATTGGAGATCTTATGACAGGAACCAGAGTAGAATGAAGTTTGTATTTATGACAAGCAATAGCCATTGGATTTCAAGTGAGTGAGTTTAGTTTAGTTTTACGCTGCACTCAGCAATATTCCAGCTATATGGCGGCGGTCTGTAAATAATCGAGTCTGGACCAAACAATCCAGTGATCAACAGCATGAGTATCTACGTGCGCAATTGGGAACCGAAGACATGTGTCAACCAAGCCAGCGAGCCTGACCACCGATCCGTTATTCGCCTCTTATGACAAGCAAGGGTTACTGAAGGTTCATTCTAACCCGGGTCTTCACGGGTCTATTGGATTTCAAGAGGAAGCACGCCGATAAGCTTTTCAGTCCTTTGATTTTAAATTATCAACATGGGTATTCTGTTTGAAAACTTGTCTTGACAATGAATGTCAATGGCTGAGGGTGAAAACTGATAAATGATGACTTTGCAATGGTCAGCAAAATATTGTCATTGTAAATTTAACCCAAACAATATCTCCTGCAGAAGTGGGAGATGATCAAAATGGGAGATGATCAAAATGGATCAACAAACTATCACAGGGGCGCGTCACGCTTAGAAACAGCGTTAGAAAGCCATATAGGTATATAGATCATTATATAAAAGGATATAGTACTAGTGTAGGGTCTATATACCTATATTGCTTTCTAACGTTGTTTCTAAGCTTGTTCTCGTCACTATATGGCTGGAATAATGCCGATGTGACGCAAAACCCAACTCAACTCAACTCTAAGCGTGACACACCCCTGTGCATACAATGCCATGGTGAATTGTATTGGCCATAATTTATATAATTTATGGCTTTGGGAGTGATGATTTTTATGGAGAAGCATGTACAATGGGAATGAGGCATTTACTCTGGCAGTTAAACCTGCCTGGAAATGTGGCCCGACCGAATGTTGCGACTTAACGCGCATCAACGCAGCATGATCACGTATTGTGAATATCTGTCGTCTGCCAGACTTTGTTGTCATGAAATTCACGTGCTGCACGTATGTTACTGACGAATTTTAAATAAACCAAAATGGGTCAATTCATTCAGGAAGGCCATATCATTTGGTAAGTACGGATCTATTATTGTTGTTTTTAATTCAGTACCGCCTTTTATGGAATACTGCAGAGATAACTGTTTAAATGAAAAGTCTCGATCGTGAATATTATAGGTCTTTTGTAGTTAATGTGTACAGGAGCTCGTATATCTACTCTATTACAACAGTACGTACCTATATATAACGTTCAAGGTTGTATATATATATTTCTAGCAAATGTCATATGTTATATATAGGCATTAGCAAGTGCTGTAATTGGCGACGTGTTGAACACGTGTGTTCATGCGTAGCTACTAAGATGTGTCCAAAAAGTGTCTATTTTCAGAACAGGTTTGGTATGCTGAAACGCAATATATACAGTGACCCAGATAGCATTCAGACGTTGGCCCAACGTTGGCAATGGTTTTGCCAACATTGCCAACTTTGGGCCAACGTCGAATGCTATCTGGGGAACGGTGTTGAATCTGGGCGGGGCGGTGGGGTAGCCCAGTGGTTAAAGATTTCGCTCGTCACGCCGAAGACTCGGGTTCGATTCCCCACATGGGTACAATGTGTGAAGCCCATTTCTGGTGTCCCTCGCCCTGATATTTCTTGAATAACGCTAAAAGCGTCGGAAAGCTAAAACTCACTCACTAACTAACTTGAATCCGGGCCGGCAGCTTGACAATATTGTTTTTTACCATTAAGTGTTATGGGATACAAACATTTTGTGAAGGTCCGCGGTTTTTTACGAATTGGTGCAGTTTGAAGGCATATTTAGTGATTCAGAATCATGATCGGCTGGCCTACGACATATGAATTATGCAAAACAATGATTTACGTAAAACATAAAAGACTAAATCGGATTTCTGTTCACACTAAAGAATATTGTTTCATACCATTAACCAGAATCGATATCGAAATAACACGAACATTTATTTTAACAGTTTGTTCACCAATCCAGATTTATGTGCTGAATAAAATACCTTTTAACCCAATGCACAGATTGAACATGCGCGCTACCGCAAATTTGTTTGGCAAATAAAATAAGCCGACAAGAGTAGCGTCCCTTGTTTAAACAACTTCCGGTTTTGGTGAGGAGCACATGCAGAGGAATCAACGGCAGATTTGATACATGTGTGAACGTTGATTCAAGGAAAATGGCTTCCGCTAGAGCAATTGTCATAGGACAGGTGATCAAAAGAGGCATCGGACGACCCGACACAGTCAAAGTGCGATGTTTGAAAATGTCACTTGACCGTTATCTTCTCAAGGTGAGTAGATTTCTTGCTAACAACATATCACTGTTCAATGGCAACACCATGATAGTAATGCTGAAGGGGTCGTTGTCGGCACAGGTACTACAGATACGTACCCCCAGGTACGTTTCTGTATTCAGATATGTACCCTAAACAAAGTCAAAATACAGAAACGTACCCGGTACCCTAAAAGACGGACGAGTCCATATTCCGCAATCCAAAAACCGAAACCGTATGTAGTTTGGCTGTAGGTGAATTCGTAGACCAGACTGGTTCGTAGACGTGGAAATCCGGTGTATTCGTAGACGGATTGAGCGGTGGATTCGTAGACGTTATTAAAATGGGAAAAGTTCAACCTCAATGATGATGAAAATCGACGAAAAGTGTTTGCATTTTGTGAAATAAATAAAATATATCAGGTAAGTATGATCGGCGGTGAAAATATGCTTAAAATAATAAAATATGCTTCACAGCGGTCCACGTCCGACAAATTCCGACAAATCATAGGCCCCTAATATATTAAATTCAGTTGTGTAAAATTAAAAGATATGTATTAGGTAAGTATCGTCATTCAACGTTCAACTACGCAGACCAGCAGAGAAGTAGCAGAAAACACTTACATCTCCTACACAGAGTATTTCGCAATCAAAACAACTCACCACTTCCTAATTAACATTCACAACAACTCAGTGAAACCTGTTAATCCTCCCACAACAATGAAAACAGTCGGGAAATTATGATGAGTAGACTAATTTTGTCTGATCCGCCGACAAAGTTTACCTGTACAAACACTTATGGTATATAAACCTCAAGAAGGTAAGAAGAAATCATTCTTCTATCACACTTTCTTGTCCTTATCTACCCTTAGCCTCGTATCACTGAAAACAAAGCATAACAACTTCGTTATACACATTCTAAGTAAAAATCAAACTTAATATATACTATTATTCAATTATTAATACACGTCTACAAAATCACCGTCTACGAACCAGTCTGGGTTACGAATCCACCGCATCTACGAACTGGTTCAGTCTACGAAATCACCGTATCCCTGTAGTTGTTCCTGTTCAACTGATTGCGATAAGCAGGGATAATCTACAACAACGTTATATAGTCTCCCTGATTGGTTTCTAGAATAAAAAGTAAGATCCTAAATGAAAACATGCAGGTAGGTAGTCCAGCATATAACTAGACTTTGCACTATACCGAGGTGTGCTGGAATACGAGTTTATTCATATGAACTAGCAGGTAGGTAGCAATGTAGGTTGCAAAAGTCCTCATGGTCTCTTAAATGGGGATCTACCTCCAGTTGTTGGCGAACTATATAGCTGTTTTTATATTTTGTCATTAAGAGAAATATCATTTTATGGTTACTTGCTTGTTTAAAATCTAACTCTGTGATAGTCAGTTATTTTACTGTTCATTGTTGATAGGTATTCATATCATTTAAACAAATATTCCAGCTATATGGCATAATAAATGTAAATAATCAAGTCTGGCCTAGACAATCCGGTGATCAACAGCATGAGCATCAGTCTACACAGTTGGTATACAATGACATGCTTCAACCAAGGCAGCGAGCCTGACCACCCCACCCCAACCCCACGTTAAAAATGAACATAAGGCTGGCTGTATATATGGCAAGAAAAAGGACTGATGAAATATCCTTTTGGAGCACCACTGCTAGCACTGAAGAAGATGGCAACTCAGGGAATCATTTTTGCAGACTAGTGAGGACAGTGATCATTCATAACCCTGTTTAATCTAAATTACTGTTTCAGTAAAGGCAAGTCACTTTCATGGATGACAATGTCTTTATTCTGTTACAATGCGGCATTTTGGAAAGCATCTATTTCAAAATGTCGCACTATAAAAATAAAGTTGTCATCCATGAAGTAACTGGCCTTTTTTGTTTCTCACCAGCTTCTAAACAGACAGGGTGATGGGTTAGCCTCATGGCTAAAGCTTCCTCTCATCTTGCTGAAGACTGGGGTTTGATTCCTGACATGGGCACAATATGTGAAGCCCATTTCTGGAGTCCCCCTCCATGATATTGCTGGAATATTGCTAAAAGAGGCGTAAAAGCCAGCTCACTCACTCACTCACTCAAACATTCCAATCAAACAGATCATCACTGTTTCAGTTCCACATGTTTATATTTCAGTACTTCAACAAGAGGACTCACCACTGGGCCATTGAGACGTCAGTGACCACAGATGTTGGCGACATTGTGATGCTACAGAGACTCCCAGAGAGGATGACAACTAAAGTGGGTCATGAAGTGAAGGAGATTGTTTACAAACTGGGATCTGTGGTTGACCCCATTACTGGGACCAGGTGCCGAGGACAACAGTTCATTGATGAAGCAGAACGAGAACTACAGAAACTGAAAATTGAAGGGGAACGATCGTGATAAGCATTTACTGATTTACATTTTCATATTTGTGTGTGTGTTTGACTTTATGAACTATAACAGTGGAGATGTGTGTTAAAGTACGTCATGAATGGACATGTGATGTTAGTTGATTCTCATGAGATGATGTGTTTCTTGTCATCTGCCTCAACAGTCAATGTGTACCAGGATAAATGTTGAAAGAAGAAGTTTTCAAGAGAGCAGTTTTTGTTGTTGTTTTGTTTGTTGTTTAATGCAGCATTCACCAATACTCCATCTACATGGCTGAGGTCTGTAAATAATCGAGTCTTGACCACACAATCCATTGATCAACAGCATGAACATCGATCTACACAATTGGGATACGATATCATGTGTCAACAAGTCAACGAGCCTGACAACCAGATCCCGTTAGTTGCCTCTTACCAATTCTAACCTGGATTTTCACAGAACAGTGAAATACCTTATAAGTCTTGACCCTGTTTTTACCAAAAAACCTGTCCATCTAATGAACACTCATTCTTTTTGAAAATATTACTTCTTTTAACTGCCAATTTTTGATGATTTAAATAATATTTGCCTTCTGGGATTGGAACATTTTGCTGTGCGTGAAAGTCTGGATGTAATAAGGCAACATTTCGATACAAAAAACAGTATGTATTATTTTTTTTAAGTTGAACCAAACATTTGTTCAATCATTTGTTATCATGCACGTCTTACACTAAGCAGTCATCCATTTGACTTGGGGGGGCTGGGGAGGAGGGTAGTAGAGACCAATCTATTTTTTAGACCAACCTATTTTCTCTCCAACTGTATCCAACTGTTGGATATTTTCCACAAACATGTTATTGATTTCACGCCAACAAACTATTCATTTTGTTGTTCTGTTAAACAAACTGTTCATTTGAAATATCTTCCCACCTATTCCATAGTAATGAAAAACATGCCCCCCAGTAGAACTTTTAAAATGTGTGGCTCATGATAAAGGTAAATTTATGTATTGGCGGATTCATTTGAAAATGACTGGAGACCACATTGAAGATACGTATTTTGTTCAGGGGGGTCGAAAACAACCCCCAACCCCTTTTCAAACTTTCTGGATCCGCCCATGATTTATATATTGTAACTAGGGTTTGCATGGGCATGAAAGGCCTGTGTTAATTTCCCCCAAGAGGCCCTAATTGCCAGTGGCTTTCCCTGAAAGGCCCCATATTTAGCAGAGCTTTTTATGATTTTACAGGGTACTGAAACACAATAAAACTACCTGGCAATGACAGTGGGTGTTGACTAATCTGCATTGTAAAGAAACTTACCCAGTGTAGCAATTGGTGCTTGGAATTGGTTGCACGGTGTACGGTCTTAGAATCATTTACAGACATATTGTTTTTACAGTATTGTTTTATTGTTTATTGACCTGTTTAGATAAGAGTAGCAATGTTGTGGTGCATATAAGAAACGAAACACAAGATTACTGATACTCCTGTAAGTCCAATTAGTACTCTATATGGTTTTCCAGTACTCCTCTGTTGAAAACATAAGGAGTATGTACTCCCAAAAAAATTTTTATCTGGAACCCTAAAGTTTCATTTGCAAATGTCACATCCAATTTAAAATGATACATCTTGCTACTTTAAAGTGATGACTTATATAAATTGTCATGAACATCAACTTCCTGGAGTCTTCAAAAAATATTCAATCATGACTTTTCATTAAGTGAAATGAGTTTACAAAGAATTAAACACATTTTCAGGCCCTGACAGCTTGTAAGATATGTTCCCTGGGCAAGTTTTTCAAACACTTAAACAGTAGTTCCAAAATCGTTTGCATTTGATTATGAGAAAATGTGATCGATTGCTTGGTTGTTTAGTCACTGCGACCAATCTTCCATTATTTCAGTTAATTGGAACACTGCTAGTAGCGATGTAGGTAAGAGTTATCTCCCCCTGTTAATCAGACAAGCAACCAATAGTTTCTCTGTTGTACTATCTACGGGTGCCACGCTAGACAAGACAACCTATAGTTTCTCTCCTGCATTGTCTACTGGTGCCGTGCTAGACAAGACAGCCTATAGTTTCTCTGTTGTACTGTCTACTGGTGCCATGCTAGACAAGACAACCTATAGTTTCTCTGTTGGATTGTCTACTGGTGCCATGCTAGACAAGACATCATATAGTTTCTCTGTTGTTCTGTCTACTGGTGCCATGCTAGACCAGACAGCTGATAGTTTCTCTGTTGTATTGTCTACTGGTGCCATGCTAGACAAGACAACCTATAGTTTCTCTGTTGGATTGTCTACTGGTGCCGTGCTAGACAAGACAACCTATAGTTTCTCTGTTGTACTGTTTACTGGTGCCATGCCATGCTAGACAAGGCAGCTGATAGTTTCTCTGTTGTATTGTCTACTGGTGCCATGCTAGACAAGACAACGTATAGTTTCTCTGTTGTATTGTCTACTGGGCCATGCTAGACAAGACAACCTATAGTTTATCTGTTGTACTGTCTTCTGGTGCCATGCTAGACAAGGCAGCTGATAGTTTCTCTGTTGTACTGTCTGCTGGTGCCACGCTAGACAAGACAACCTATAGTTTCTCTGTTGGATTGTCTACTGGTGCCATGGTAGACAAGACAACCAATTCTCTGTTGTACTGTCTACGGGTGCAGTGCTAGACAAGACAGCCTATAGTTTCTCTGTTGTACTGTCTTCTGGTGCCATGCTAGACAAGACAACCTATAGTTTCTCTGTTGGATTTTCTACTGGTGCCATGCTACACAAGACATCATATAGTTTCTCTGTTGTTCTGTCTACTGGTGCCATGCTAGACAAGACAACCTATAGTTTCTCTGTTGGATTGTCTACTGGTGCCATGCTAGACAAGACAACCTATAGTTTCTCTGTTGTACTGTCTACTGGTGCCATGCTAGACAAGACAACCTATAGTTTCTCCGTTGGATTGTCTACTGGTGCCATGCTAGACAAGACAACCTATAGTTTCTCTGTTGCATTGTCTACTGGTGCCATGCTAGACAAGACAACCTATAGTTTCTCTGTTGTACTGTCCACGGGTGCCGTGCTAGACAAGACAACCTATAGTTTCTCTGTTGGATTGTCTACTGGTGCCGTGCTAGACAAGACAACCTATAGTTTCTCTGTTGTACTGTTTACTGGTGCCATGCCATGCTAGACAAGGCAGCTGATAGTTTCTCTGTTGTATTGTCTACTGGTGCCATGCTAGACAAGACAACGTATAGTTTCTCTGTTGTATTGTCTACTGGGCCATGCTAGACAAGACAACCTATAGTTTCTCTGTTGTACTGTCTACTGGTGCCACGCTAGACAAGACAACCTATAGTTTCTCTGTTGTACTGTCTACGGGTGCAGTGCTAGACAAGACAACCTATAGTTTCTCTGTTGGATTGTCTACTGGTGCCATGGTAGACAAGACAACCAATTCTCTGTTGTACTGTCTACGGGTGCAGTGCTAGACAAGACAGCCTATAGTTTCTCTGTTGTACTGTCTTCTGGTGCCATGCTAGACAAGACAACCTATAGTTTCTCTGTTGGATTGTCTACTGGTGCCATGCTAGACAAGACATCATATAGTTTCTCTGTTGTTCTGTCTACTGTAGCCATGCTAGACAAGAGAACCTATAGTTTCTCTGTTGTTCTGTCTACTGGTGCCATGCTAGACAAGACAACCTATATTTTCTCTGTTGGATTGTCTACTGGTGCCATGGTAGACAAGACAACCAATTCTCTGTTGTACTGTCTACGGGTGCAGTGCTAGACAAGACAGCCTATAGTTTCTCTGTTGTACTGTCTTCTGGTGCCATGCTAGACAAGACAACCTATAGTTTCTCTGTTGGATTGTCTACTGGTGCCATGCTAGACAAGACATCATATAGTTTCTCTGTTGTTCTGTCTACTGGTGCCATGCTAGACAAGAGAACCTATAGTTTCTCTGTTGGATTGTCTACTGGTGCCATGGTAGACAAGACAACCTATAGTTTCTCTGTTGTACTGTCTACTGGTCCCATACTAGACAAGACAACCTATAGTTTCTCTGTTGTACTGTCTACTGGTCCCATACTAGACAAGACAACCTATAGTTTCTCTGTTGCACTGTCTACTGGTGCCATGCTAGACCAGACAGCTGATAGTTTCTCTGTTGGATTGTCTACTGGTGCCGTGCTAGACAAGACAGCTGATAGTTTCTCTGTTGGATTGTCTACTGGTGCCGTGCTAGACAAGACAGCTGATAGTTTCTCTGTTGGATTGTCTACTGGTGCCATGCTAGACAAGACAGCTGATAGTTTCTCTGTTGTACTGTCTACTGGTGCCATGCTAGACAAGGCAGCCTATAGTTTCTCTGTTGGATTGTCTTTTGGTAATAGGGGTAAAACGACGACTGGTCGGCTCGGAGTCAGTATAATGTGTCTGAGTGGGGTATTCATGCTTAACTGCGGCCAATCTGCGCCATGGTATGTCAGTGAACTAGCACTGTAAATTCTGGACTAGTACAAGCAGCCACACATACACACGCATGCACATCGTCATATCAGCGAAATATTCTCAAATACGATGTTAAACCCCGTTTCACCTCATTGACTCATGGTTTCAGTCGGAGATTGAAATGTATGTTCAATGTTGAAATATGTCCAGCTTGATATCAATGTAACTGAGTAATAATGTAACTGAAATGTTGCTTCATTCAGTAAACAAGAAGTTGCGATGATGAATGAGCATATTTTCCTACTTAACGACCATTTGTTAGATTGCCAGTCAAACGTGATTAAGCAGTTTGAGACTTCAGCCAATAGTCCGGAGCCTGTGTCTTGTAAAATTGTGATCTATCTTGTTAGTGCAGCCTAAAGTGAACTTGGAGTAACTGAGATTCACTGAAAACGTAGACTAACGCTTAGTCCTTAAATATATAAAATATTGATGGTAACAAATAAACCCATTTTAAATTGGAAAGGAGCACAAGTGAGTTTGGAGATTGAGGAAATGTAGGCTTGCTTCATTTAGGGCTTTACCATTGCAGGGAGGGCTTGGCAACAGGGGAAATTATGTGGTTCAGTGACTGTGAGAGACTACTGAACACTTTAAGAACCATGTTTGTGTTAGTAGGCTCGAAAGTCTTTTGCACAAACTGGACTAAATGGTGCTGATTATATACACTGACATGACATAGTAGATATTTTGGAATTGAACCGAAGTATG